AAAGAAATAATTTCGCCTTAAAAAGTCCAAACTCGAATACTTATGAAGATTTGAGAGTTCGATACCACAACATAATGGAATCAAATTACGTTTAAGGATTATCGAACTCATGATTTACGTTGTCAATTTAGTGGTTTTCCGAATTTGTTATGTTACTTCATTGTTGGTGGGGAGCTAAAACAATATCTGTAGTTGTTCGAACAAAAGCTCAAATATTGACCTACCAATTGTGTGTCTATTTAAATGAACAGTATTTGCTGAAAGGTCACTTGATAGACATATTGGAGATGTTAACATATGGATAATTTTTCGCTGACATGTAATAAAAATGAAAAGGCAAAAACTTATCAGGAGTGACAGCTACAACTTAATACCGATCAAATATGTAGTCAAGTCGCAGTACGTTGTCTGTTCGTCATTAATCGAAATGATTTATTTCTATTTGAAAAAATTTACCTTCCACTAACTATAAATCAGTCCTTGTTTGATATCATTCTTGTATTTAAGTGGTTGTATAATATTCTCAATTCCAATTTCGTCTAGCTGGAAGGTCACGAACAAGAACAAAAGGATATGTCTACTATTTCTCTACGTATTAATAACTCCGAAAATGACAATTGTTACTGACGAGAACTTTAAACAAACTAATCAATTTTATTCAAATCTCTTGAAAACAAATTTCTATAGCTACAAGCATTAAATAGAAAATTTTAATTAATGGGACATAATATAATTGTTCTCAATAGTTCATACTGAAGGGACGCACATAGAATATTTTTTGTTATTACATCCTATACCAATTACTTTTATGATTTTATAATGATTTCTGCAAAACTAATAAGTTAATTCATTTACATCAGAATAATTATTTATGCATTTAATTAAAGTGCAAGGTAAACTTGATTCAACGCATGCGTACTTTTATTGAATATTTATAAATACATAAAGGTCAAGTGAATATGTATACGGACACGACAAAACTTCCATCTTTAAAATATTACTTGTACTTGACATTGCTATAATAAAAGTACTATTGAAATACGGATTTTTCTTTAAACAAAATAATTCAGTAGAGTTTCAATTTTTTACGATTTACATCACAATGGTATTATATCTGAACTGTCTTACCAAGTTATCCTCCATAAAATTACTCTTATTGGCATATAGGCTTGATCAACAATCTGCATAATGAAGATTTTATGATAGCCGAATTTAAAAGTTTGTATATTACTGAATTACAAAAGCCTAAACAAGATTGTACTGACAGTTAACATTTGTTTGTTTACTTTGTGTAATAGAAGTTAATAATGTTGCATGTTATGAATTCAAATAGCTTAGACAAATATTATTGACAAAAAGTTCATCAGATTATGCATTTATCAAGTACACTATTTATTATTTCAAAATATGCTTATTTGACTATTTAACCAAACAAACGATTTCACACAGCTGTTAACATTAAACATAGTTTAAGCAGTTATACCTCCTCACTTTAGGATTTCAGAGTGGTAGGTACTTATATTACATTTTATTTATAAAAGTTAAAATACCCTAATTGCGCAACCCTAACAAAACTGACTCTTTGTATTACCACGTATGTTAACATTAATATCATATAGTTATTTGCTATTAAAATCTTGTAATTATAGAATCACAAACCTGTGCTTTTAGGTAGTCAATCGTCTAGTTTAAATCACTAAACTAACTCAGAGAGTAAAACGTCACCATAATAGATTTTGAACGATTTTTAATGTCATTACATCTAGTAATATAGGTGTGAAAGACAATTGTAGGTAATCGAGAGTGAGAAACACTGTTGTCAACTTACACTGTCTCTGCATTCTGCATTGAGTACCCGGACAAAGTACAACTAATGAAGAGTTTTCTCTCGGGCTAAAAATTAACATTGCCAATAGGACTCCCATTGGTTGAGAGATTAACCTAAATTATTGTATAATATCAGTAGGGGTTTTGTGGATATTATAGTAATTTTAATATTTGTGATCATGAGTCAATTGAAGCTAGACCACCAAGGAAAACCTGAAAGCACTGAACGGCCGTTTCGTCCGATTGTTGGACTTCTACAGAATTTTACGGATAAGTTAAAGTGAGACATTAGCACCGTTGGATACCGGCCGCCTCAGTGGTCTAGAGGTAGATCCTGTGTTTCAACCTCACTAGGCGGGATGGCGGATGCACACTGCTGAGGACACCCACAATAGGACGAAACGGTTATCCTGTGCTTCCAGGTTTTCCATGGTGGTCTAGCTTCGATTGACTCATGATTTCAATTATTAAAATTATTATATAATAGTATTATTCTATGAAATCTTGGCTTGAAATAAAACAATTATTCGGTATTTTCTAAATGCCGACGGTTGTTTAATAAACTGACATTAAAATTTTTTTAAGGATGCACAAATATTTTTCATGAAGTAATTATAATTAAAGTTAGGCTCAAAGAGAAAGTGTTTATTTATTTCTATGGTATTTTTAAGTAAGCGATGCGGCATGAAACAAGAAAGATTAGTTTAACAAAGAGATCGCTTTTCGGCGAATTCATTTTCAAGGTTGTACGATCGCAAATATATACTTATTTTTCAGGTTGATAATAATTACGATAATAGTGATAATAGAGTTCTAATAAGCATAGTAACAGTGAGGCCGAATAAACAAAAGTATCAAAACATTGTTTTTATCAGGGAAACTAACAATAGTTTCGTTGTTAAGGTCTTCTATATTCATCATGAAGATAAACAGGGAAACTATAATCGGGAAATGATTCTACCTCACTGTTACTATGCTTAATAGAATTCTATTACCACTATTATTGTAATTATTATCAACCTGAAAAATAATTATATATTTGCGATTGTACGACTTTGAAAATGAATTCGCTGGAAAGTAAACTCTTCATGGAACTAATCTTTCTTATTTCATTTATAACTAGTCTCAAAATAACTTAACACTATTATCTTCTCCACCTTGAAATTTATTTAAATATTACTTTTTGTTTGATAAAAAATGCACATTAAGATATTTGTTTAAAAATTATTTCATGGTAACTAACTTTCATGTCCGTTTGCACATTCATGATCTTACTTTGACTAGAAAATCAGTGACGAAGATTGTTAGAAAGTGTTCATTATGTTTAAAACTAGTAATTAGAACTAATCTCACTTGGTTACTTTTTAATGTGTGACAACATGATTTAAGTATTCTCGTTATCTTAATATCGCAATCTTTAAAGGCTGAAAACGCAAAGCCATAAAATATTGTTTAATATGTTTGATCCATATTGTACAATATTATCAATGTTTAGATTAGTGTCACTGCTTGGAGTCGTAATAAAAATTCTGTAAATTCTTTAAATAGTTTATCACACTAGTCCGTTTTATATTTTTGTCTGCTAACTAGAATGACACATTTTTTAGAAGGCTAAAATCCAGAAAATTATTAACTTTATTTTTTGTATTATGTATAAGAAACAAATTACGGTTGATTGAATCATAGGCAAACTCAACAGCAATTTTTAAATTCATTAATTATAAATAGAAAACGAATTCATAAAAATTCTTAAATCCGTGCTCAGTAAACTAACGAATCAGCATAATCGAATTAAGTGTAATATGAACAAATCAGAAAATTGTAATAATACTAGTATTCATATTATAACAAAGGAAAACGTTGGATTTATCATGATGGAAGCATGTTGTAAACATTTCACATTTTCTGTTTGTATCTATAGTAACACATCACGACGAACTAATGGTAACACCATAATCATTAAAAGTCAGCATTATAGAGCAAACTGAACTCTATATAAATAAAGTCTTGTTGATTTCGATAAGACGTGTTTAGATAAGCAAGAGATCGTTACTCACGAAATGAAGCTGTTTTCTTTCTCGACTGATGTTAGATTCTACCTTAAATAAATAATAGTACTTAATTACAAAAACAGTAACGAATGATTGACAATGCAATTAAAAGATGAGGCGGACACAATAATTAAGATTCAAAAAATAAATTGAAACGGACAGTTACGGGTTTGGCAGATAACAAAATATCTTACAAGAAAATTTAGAAATTTTTGATGGAAATTTGGGTGTAAATAATAGTTATTTAAGAATTAAGAGAAGAACATTGGAGTTATGTAAAAGTAAGAAGGCGAAACAATTTTTAGAAATTTTAGCCATCAAAGAGAAGTTGGAATAATACGTCATTTGTAACTTGCAATAATATTGGTTTTGTTAATATTCGAGACGGAGAAAGCAGTAATACAAATTTCTCCTGCAAGCAAATGTACGTACAGAATATGTACGTAAACAAATGCGATAAATCTAGTGAAATACATTGGATCACTTCGAAAACTTCATTTGTGTCATCCTTATACCCTCTATAGAATAAATCAATAAGTATATAGCTTTTAATGGACATTACATGTTGTTCAATCAGCCAAGCAGAATGATTCTTGGAAATTCTTGGGATGAATTGCTAATTTATGCTTCGAATATAACTAGCTCCCCAAAAACAGTTGAATTGCTAGGTACAATAAGGATGAGCCGTACTCGTGAAATGTGTGAGTACAGAACGTTTCAGAAAAGTGCATAGTTTGTCCGGAGTAAACATTTTTTGAGGGCTTTTGGAATACTTTTATGTTATTATATTACCAAAAATCGTGAGTTATATCGTACAGGTTAGAAGCAAAATTCAGAAAAATGTTGTTTCTTTAAACTTTGTGTAATGACTAAAGATCAGATACCTTTTGTAGGTGCATGTAAATTTTAAGAGGTCAGGTGTCATTGGATATATTTCAGAATACTGGATTATAAAGTTTACCATATAGTGATCATTGAGTAACGGTGGGTAACACGTGATCTTGAAGTGTGACAATATTTATATTCAAATTTACTATAAATGATTTACCAAATTAAATTTAAAAAGTACAGTTTGCATAAACATAATAGTTTAAGAATAACAAGTTATTTGTTTCGGCTTACTTTCTGAAATTCTACTTCCTACTTCTGGACTAACACTAAATGATCGAAAAGATTCTGGATTATTTTGGTGATAAGAATATTTTGTTTGTAGGGATGGTTGACTTTGATCAGCTTGAAAATAACGCCGTGCAGTATATAAAGTCTGGTTATTTGGATAATAAGTCGGAGAGTAGTTGTCGAAGATACTGCGGTTAGCAACAATTTTATCACTATTATTACTGCTAATGCGGTGATCATCATTGACGTACTCAGAGTGAATTAACGAAGGTGAAGAACCGATTTCATTTGGTAATGAATTTAAAGACGATGAATTTCTTTTGTACGAAGCTAACGTGCTATTTGATAGATATGAATTCGGTTTCAAAACATCTGGCATTCTGTTTATTTTCTTACTGATTGTTTTGTTCGTAAAATCGGAATCATGATAAGTAGTATCAGTGTTATCGATCAAGGTGCTAGCATCATAAATATTATTGAATGAAAGAATACGTTCATGATTTATTGCATGAGGAAAATATCTTTGATAATTTGTTTGTATAATTTGTGGTCGACGTGTAATATAATATGTTCTACCATATTTATGATGTTCCTCATCATTTTGTTCCATGTTTACATCATCAATATTCTGTCTTGAATGGAATGAAGGTTTAGCATTAATTGGTCTAGGTGAAAAATGGTCATTTTTATTCAAATATCTAGTCGCGTTATTACTTCCGATGCCACCCGATGACGATAATGTCGTTAGTGAACCCTGTAAATTTTGCGAAGTTACTGCGGTCATTGGTGTTTGTGTTCCAGTTGTTGTTCCATTATCTGATGGACGGTATTTATTACTTATATTATTATTCGAAATTTTCGAGTCTAAATGTTTTGGTTTAGATGTTATATATTCATTGTGATAATCATCACTGTTGTAAAGTGTTTCATTAGATAACATTTTATTATTGGATGACAGTAACCATGATGGACGATAATTTAGTAATGGTCGATATGGAGATGTGGAGGAACTACGCTTAAATAATGTATCGTAATTACTCTTTCGCGTACATAAAGGTGAATACATATTATTTTTATTGTCATTGAAATTAGTTGTACAAGGTGAATTACTGTTTGCCAAATATATCTCATTATTACTGTTATTATGCAGTAATGGTTTCATCAACATGGATGAATCAGCCTTCATCATTTTCCCAGGCGGATTGTTTGCTAATTTATCAGTGTCTTCATTGTTTATAGTTTGTATTGATGTTGAAATGTTATTATAATTGTTACCGATATTATTACCATAGTTGTGGTTAGAGAAAGAAGTAGGAGTATAACTGTATCGTTTATTCTTCCAAGAAGAGTATTCACCTCCACTTGAATGAGGAAGCATAGTGGATAAATTGTCATTTTTGCCATTAGTGAAAATTTTATTCTGATTATTTCCCTTAGTATTCGTATTAGTAGTAACAATATTGGTAGTAATGCTATTACTATTAGAATCATCAATAACTTCGTTATTAGGATTTATTTTCGGCTTCAGATTTTGTGACAATAATTTAATTGCTGCCGAAATACCCGGTTGTGTTCTACGATTAACTGAAAGGTAGACTTCATCGAACTTCTTGGTTTTCGGAGTTTGAAAATTTAGTTCATTTTTATTACTGATTTGAATGACGTTACAATCCTGTGTATTGATGCTATTCAACATGCTCATTTCATCATTATTTTTTATGGAACCCAGTTTATATAACCTCCGTAAATAGGAAGTTGGTAGTGGAGTAGAAGCAGATTTATTTGAATCCCAATTATTTTGCTGATATACTTGTGTGGAAGATGCATTATGTTGATTACGATGTATAACTTTTGGCGATGATTGTGTACCGCAGCCATTCCGGTGAGAGGATGAACTTGTTGAGACATTATTTATAGGATTCGTACAATTACAACTATTGTTGTGGGATGGATACATGAAGTATGATCAAGATGGACAATATTCATAAACTGTCAGACAGAATTTCGTAGGAAAATCATAGATTTGATAATTTTTCACTGTTCAAACCTAAGAAGTCAATCACGGTAAAATGTGCTTATTTTCACGCGGTAAAATACGATTTTGTAGATGGAATGTTTTATACTCACACTTCATTTTGCAAAATTTCCTTCAACCAATCACAAACAATTAATAGGTTTTAAAGATGTATTCTAACAAATCAAATTTATTCAGAGTTATAATTTGATTGGTAAGTTTTCTACACCAATTGGATTGGCGATGATTCTATGAAAACAAAAAGATGGGTCAAGATTTTGACAACTGAATGAAAGAGTATACTTATGAAATTATGACTTTAGAACAACCAAACCTCACAACATAATTGTTTTCATTTACTTATGACAAAATATATTTGACATTCTGGACATTAACTACGTTCTGAACACGTGTACTGAACAGAGTCGATAAATTCTCATTGAAACTCCACAGTTATAAATTCGAGTTATGTTTCCAAAAATATTGCTACTTCGAAGTAGAGTAAATCTTCTAGAAAAAACAATGTATTTGTTTAGGAATTTTATCAAAATGAACTTGTTAACAAAGTTATGGTCAATATTTCCTGTCAAAACGGATGTGTTCACAAGTCAATAGAGGTTGTGACATTGATCATCAGAATAGATACAGATAACATGGATTGAAAGAAGTAGTAATGTAATTACAAAACAGATCAAATATTCGACTGACTGTGTGTCTAGAATGGTGAGCACTATGCAAGAAACAGTGGTGTGTTGAGTGTCACTTACAACCGTCATCAATTTGGAAGACGAGAAATAATACTGACAATAATAATGAAAATAATAACAATGAATATCAGCATAGAGTTGTGGTGATTGTTGAGTTTTATTGACATCGTGTGTAATGGGAAGCATATAATTATTCCGTAATATCTCCCTGTAGGTTTATGCATAATGAGATCTATAAAGAGTGCTTTCAATTTTCCAGAGCTATCGATCAAATGTCTATCCACATAATACATATTTTCTAAAGTAAATTCAGCCAAATTTATGAATTATTGTATTCAAAGTTAGCTATGATAGAAAAGAATGAAATTTCAGGTATTAATTATTCAGAGTTATATTTTAAAAACTTCGATATTTCTGGGAACTGAGGTTTATTTGGTACACTAGACTAACAGTGAAATAGTGAACTTCATATTCTAACGTTATTTACCTGTATTGTGGAGGTCTATCACTTTTACGTGGTTAATAATCTTGTCATCAAAGTTTATTTTTCTGTTGGTCAATTCAAAAATGTGTAGTAATTGTATTTCAGTTTCAATTTAAAATGTTCTCACCCTACTGCTACGTGTGCAACTAAAAACATTTGTTAAGACGATTGTATTTCACCATTGTAAACATAAGATGACGTAAATATGAAAGGAACTAGTTAGATGCAAAGGAATTTCCCATTCATATTCACGTGTTTCACAGAAACTATGCAGTTATGTAAAAGAAATTTATGGTAAAATGTTTGAAGAATATTGAATAAGTAAGGACGAAATTATAGACTCAACTGTGAAAACAGATTTCTTGTATTTAACGTTTATAAGAAAATTAACTGACCTATGAATTATATTAGGAGTGATAAAGAGAAATTATATCCAACTTATTTGTGACGCATGATAAGCTTAAGTGAAAGTTTGTTGGTTGATGTAGAATTATTTAAAATTATGATCGATGTCACCGTAGACTGGTTGAAAAATTCATTCACGGATATAAGTATGTAATCAGTGAATCATGATCAGTATAGGAAAAAATGAAACTGATTTGGAAATGTGAATATAATAAAAGGAATCTGAATAATAAAACAGTTAAGAAATTCAATTTCCTCACTGTTCTATTTCTTCAGTACTTAAAACTTGAGAGAAAATAGGTTATGTAAAAAAGATTCTTGATAAAAGAGCCACAATGTCAATCAGACTAACCGGAAAATATCTGTACAAACTACTGATATGGAATAAAGTCCTTTCATGTATATTGACAGAATAATGTCATAATTCACAAAGTCGACTATCTTAATTCATCAACCAGAGTTCCTACCAAAGGTAAGGTAAATTTCATAAACAATGCAAATATCTTTCAGTAAAAAGAAACATATAATCGTGCTGATCGTTGAATCATTCTCGATTATCAGGGAAAGAAAGAGTAACTATCTTTCTTTTGGCTAGTTGCTCCTGGAACAGCTCAACGGTTACGTTTAGTAGTCTTACGGTAAAATGTCTTCGCATAGTGTGGGAAACAATTTTTGCTACACTCTAGATCATTAAATAAGGCAATCTAAACAAAATTTCATTAATCTTGAGGCACTGCAGCAAAAAAGAAAGTAATGCAATATATCTCGGTATCTGATGGGTGTTTTTCAAAGTTGTCAAAAGAATTCACTCTCACTTTCTGTTTATAAGGTTTATTTCGGGCGAAACAGTCGAGTAATAAAAAATGTTTTGTTTCTCTGAGTGAAAATTGCACATCTTGTTTATTCTGTACTTTTATTTGGATTGTACACGGGAGACTTTATCGATAAAAGTAACCAGTGGCCTTTTTTCAAACAATGTAGATTTGCTTCCTAGAAAGCTTGTAGATTAGAAATGAGGTTTAATATCATAGCTTTATATATTTTAATTAATACAGACTGAATGCATAAACTAAAACACTTAACCTTGTTATTGTAAAGAAAGATGATCAATATTGTTCTAGAATACTCAAACTAATAAGCAAGCAACAATTAATTTGCTCACTTCTAAGTACTTATTTCAAATAAGTAAACGACTTAATACTGAATAGTGCACATTTCTTCAGTTTTAAAATATAAGTGTCGTATGCTGACGTGTTTGCAAACTTTGTGTGTATGTTTAGCTCGTTAAAAGACTACGTTAATGATTATGAGATATACAATTCAAATGAATATAATAACTTCAAACATCATTTGAAAACACTGAAGCATATGATTTGAAATACAGTATATGGAATGTTAATGGTCGGAACACTTATGATATTGGAAACTACCACATTTGATAAATAAATTTTCCTCATATGTCATACCTCAGATCTGTACATTTAATTCGATGTAGTTTCGCCAACACTTGATTTGATTAATTTACTTAGAAGTTCTGGATCTATTTGAGGTTTCTCAACATTTGATAAGATTTTCTTCAGAAAATTAATCACGATTTCTGAAATATTGATCGAGTATACTAGGAGCGATATACTGTGGAATTTTAAAGTTGATACTGATAAGGAATACAGGATTTCGTTATCGGTAAAGTTTTTTACTAGTATTATACTTAAACATGCTATAGGTTATTGACTGAAACAAAGCTGCTAATGAGAAATATCTACTAACCTGTCTGTATACTCAAATCATATTACCACCATGGGCAAATGCTGATATATTTTATGGTCGATGATTTTACATATCTTAGTATCCGTGGTGTTTAACAATAAAATTTTTAAAAGATACGAGTGTGAATATGTCATCAATCAGTTTTAGGTAACTTTTAAGTAGCTTAAGTGAATTGTTTAGAGGCATTTCTCACAAACTAATGTCTACTACTAATAAGTTATGATTTTTTAGTACGTTCTTATATCAACGCATTATCACTTTCTACTTTTTAGTTCTAAATGAAATACAATAAGATAAATACTTTGTACCTGATCAATAAATTAAGTCACAAGACATTGTGTTACACTATATTTGATATTAGCCAACTGAAATCTAACGTTAGGGAAGCATTAGATTTATATGCAGTTGCCGATTACTTGTTAATTGGCCATATCTATCTTTTAGAAGAAATCTCCACTTTCTGAGAAATTTTTAATCGAATATTGCAATCGTAAAAACACAACTCCGTGTCAAACAAGTTAATCAAAAACCTTTCTGAACAAGTAAAAATTATTACGATAGGAAAATTTAGATGTTGTTGAAGCTGACAATCACTAGTCGCCAAAACTACCAACTTAAAAAAGTACAGAATGGTGAATATTCTGATACGTTGAACAAGCTCATTCTAATTATATCTTACAGATATGATTATTATTAAATTAGCTTAGTCATATCAAAGTGAAAATGGTTTAAGAACTTCATTCAGAGTCATTTTACCCCTAATATTATACACTTTCGTTTGACGAAGTTTCCATGTTTTAATTAAATAGCTAAATAATTCTATGGTCGCAGTCAAGTTCCAATATAAAAATGATGACATGGTTTTATAGAATTATTCGTTGATTCCATAAATCGCGCTAGTTGACCAGCTGGTGTTTGAAAGTACACTAATTAAATGTCATAATTTAAATACTCTGTATAAATTCACAATCGCTAAATAGTATTTAGACAGCTAAAATTAAAGCAACAACAAATAACACGCTTATGTTCAGAACTGCACTAAATTAATGAATAATTCACAAAAATAAATAGGCTGACTCATTGATTCAATAATATTAAACTTAATAATTTAAGAGAGTAAAACCCTGATAGAAATAAATGTGTGTTGTTAGGACATGAACAACAAATCAACATTAGTGATTAATAAATAAGTGTCAGAGAATAGAAGTACTCTCTGATCAATATTTCTTTTTTCCATTTAATTACTAAATGACTACTTCATTAGTGAAACTATGTAATTTTTAAATTATAGTAAACGTTTTACATCTGTATATGGATATGTGTGAAGTCAATTAGATTTTCAGTGTAATTAATTTGTTAATATAAATGTTTATTAATTTTCGGAATACTAAATGAAATTTTATTCTTATTGATCAGATATTGTCATGTATTCGTTCAATACTAAATTATTAAGTTTAATTAGAATTACTATGCATCGTTAAAGTGGTAGTCTTTAAAACTTGAACAAGATGAGAACAGTTCATTGAGGTCATCAAAATATCATCATATCTTTACAAAAGATGGACATTCTAAGCCATCAAGATTTCATTCACAGTACGTTTGTGACAGAAGTCAATAGTGTAAAGATGGTAAGTCCGGTAAAATAAAAGTTGATTGATAGACATGAAGATTTACTTGGAAAGTTCAACGGTTCTTATCTTTTTTGTAAAATGATGAGTATGATTTTTCAAATTATAATCTTAACTGACCGCCTAATGGTGGTTGAATACAC